CCAGGCACCATTGCAGGAACTGAGAGACATGGAACCCCAGCCAATTCTATATTCCCTGCAGTTCCATGACGTGTAATTCCCTGCAATCACTTGGTCCCTCTGAGTCCCTTATTCACTTAGAAGATCAAGGGATTCACTTAGAAGAACATTTTGGACCCACCCTGTTCCAAAATGTTCTGATCCTCGGAAAATCACTGACGTCTTCCCTTAAGTGTAGAACCTAGAATTTAGGAAGGATATGTATTATTAAATTCCTTCTCTACCTCTCCTTGAAGAGTCTGTTAAACCCTTTCAAACTAAGTGCATGTAAATGCCAATATGTCTGGTTAAGCTACACCTTGGGAAAGTAGTAAGCTTTGGAGACAGACCAATCTCAATCCCAGGCCTTCTGTGAGAAACTATAGATACACTGATGATCAAGATTCCGTTCCTTCCCCAGGAAAGGGAAGGTGGACAATGAAATGGATAAACTTCAATAACCATAGAAATTTTTTTTCTTTTTTTCCTTCTTTTTTTTTTTTTTATCAATCTTTATTGTTCCTATTATTACAAAGGTTCCTCATTTCTTACCCCCTCTACCAGGTTCCCATCCCACCCTCCGCCCCCTCCCCATCCCCCATTGTCCTCATCCATAGGTGCACAGTTTATGTTCAGTCTCTTCTTCCCTCCCTTTCCTCAATAGTAAATCCCTTTTCAGATAGTAAATCAGTTACTTAGCATTTTCTCATATCAATAATACTTCCACATGCCCAATGATACACTTCACACAAAAGACATTTCCCAATAGGTCCACCAGCCTCATCCAGGCCCCACCCAAGGCACTCACAGATCAACACCCCAGCCCTATACTAACTCAACACATCCAGATCTAAGCCTTCATCACTTGATTCAGCAGACCCTCAAGTTCCCACGAAAGTTTCCAGCCATGTCTGAGAGGCAGCCGTGGGGCAGGGGCAGGCGAGGAGCGAGCTGTTCCGGGCCTGGCTGCTCAGGGCCTGGCCTCTAATAACCATAGAAATTAAGGTATAAAAGAGTTAGACCCTCCAGCCCTAAAGTGCTGTTAGAAGAAAGCCAATGATTCTGCCTAACGGCCTCTAGGAAGGTGGCCTAGCAGAAGTATTCTGGGCTAAAAAGAAGAGAGAGCCCTAACCGGTTTGGCTCAGTGGCTAGAGTGTCGGCCTGCGGACTGAAGGGCCCCAGGTTCGATTCCTGTCAGGGGCATGTACCTTGATTGCGGGCACATCCCCATTAGGGAGTGTACAGGAGGTAGCTGATCAATATTTTTCTCTCATCAATATTTCTTTTCTTTTTCTTTTTTTAAATAAATCTTTATTGTTCATATTATTACAAATGTTCCTCATTCCCCCCCCCCCCCCCCCACTCCATGGCCACGTCCTTCCTGCAGCTGGAGCTTGCCCCTGGTGCCGTTGATGTACAAAGACCAGACTTTCTATCAGTATTTTTTCAGCAATGACACCAAGAAATTGACAGCTAAGTGGATGTTGTACACAAACTCATCATCTGTCATCTTCACATGGCCAACAGACACCGCCAGACACAGCACCTCCGTCATCTGAAACTTGATTGTGCTTTCCCTTCATCAACTTTGACCACCAAGCTCTCACTGTGGGGTCAAGCGGAAGAGAACTTGCTAGCCTGAGGCAGGCCTGGGCCCGGGATTCGTAGATCTGCTTGATCAGCGGAGAGTCTGAATCCAAAAAGGCACCAGACTTCTTGGTCAGCTTCCTGACTCGTTTCTTACCCTTGTTGAGTTTCTTCAGCGCCTCGATGTTCGTGCGGGGGATATCCGCGGCCTTGACCTCATCGCAGAGCTGCTGGTCTGCCGACGCACGTGGAGAACGTGGGGCAAGTGTCCGAGTTTGTCTTCCTGAGGCTCGTGGTTCTTCAAGCTGATCTGCAGCTCCACCGGCTCCAGAACTTCCATTGTTGGCGCTGGTTCCCGCGCAGAACTCCCCACACCGTCTGGTACAGGGTGTCTCAGGAAACTTTGCCGTTTGTGATTCCTCATACCGCAAAAGCCGGAAAAGAGCTCAGATTTACTCTTTATTGAGCACTTACTGAATGCAGACACCGTGCACTTTATACCCATCACAGCAGTGTTTCCCACTGTGTATCATGCAAGTCCCCGGGGAGTATGAGGTGTCTTTACACAGGATACCAAGAACATGTTTATTTTAAGAGTTATGCTTTCCGTTTACATCTATCTTCTATGTATGGCAGGCGGCATTAGTTTTTTGTTCACAATCTATAATAATAAAAGCGTAATATGCAAATCAACCAAATGACCGAACAGCAGAACAACCGTCCGGACAACCATGCTATGACACGCACTGGCGCCAGGCAAACCAAGGCAGGTGCGATGTGATTGGTCAGGGGGCCCCACCATCACTCCACAATGGCCCCACAGATCAACGGGGGAGGGAGGGGCTCCGGGCTTGATCGCCCCAAAGAGGGAGGCTCAGGCCACCTTCTGCGCAGCAATCAATTTCAGAACCCTGGCCGGGTGGGTGGGACCTCCCTCTGTTGGGTGATCGATCGAGGAGCCCCACAATCAATCGCCCCAAAGAGGGAGGCCCAGGCCAGCCAAGCAATCACACCCCACGCCTGTCACCCACAGAGGGAGGTGACTGGTGGGGGAGGAGAGGGCAGCACCTCACAAATAGTAAGCAATGATGGGGCAGAGGCAGGGCCAGCTGCAGGCAGCCGGGGGAAGGAAAGCCCCCATAGGCCCTGTTTTCAGCCAAGCCTAGGGACATTACCCGAGGGGTACTGGATTGTGAGAGGGCGCAGGCCTGGCTGAGGGGCACAGGCGCGCGCGCACACACACCACACACACACACACACACACACACTCCGGTGCACGAAATTCATGCACGGGGCCTCTAGTTTAGTTATAAAGTATCCTTTTTTACAATTTAAGTTTTTAAAAAAGTGACGCAATTTAAAGAAAAATATTTATTGAGTAAATATATAGCTGGTACATAGACACTGTAAAAACTTCAAAGGGGGGTACACAAATCACTGAAATTCAAGCAACACTGTTTTAGCATGTAAGCATTTATCTCATTCGGAGCTCATTTGGTTGCAAGTCATCAATGACTCGAATCAGCTGAAGCAAGAGAAGAGAAGATCTCCCAGCAAGGAACTGTCACGGGCCCCAGAGGGAAGAGTGCAGCTGTGCCTCCCGAAGGGCTTGGCCTGGAGGAGGCGCACGCAGGCCCCTGGGAGCACTCCCCTCCTCTCTCCAGGTCCTCGGGGCCTCTGTCTCTGCAAGTCTCCAGCTTCGCTCTAAACAGAGCCATTTCCTCTGGTACCAGCACACTCACGTAGGTGGCCACCTCCGCCACCCTCTCAACACACAGACACACACATGTAGACACAGACACACACACACACACTCACAGCTCCAGAGTTCCTATACCTTCAGGTTAGTGACTTGCAGAGCCTGAAATAGCATCCCTGAATCTTGCTACTTATTCCTGAGAGAGACAACCTGACTGGCCGAGCTGGAGCCAGATGTCCACCTCTCATCCATTCGACTCCCATGGGAGGATGGAGGGGAACACGTTCTCAGTAAAAGAGAGAAACCTGGATGGGTAGGCGCCCTGACCAAGAGGTCTCTGCCTCAGCAACTTACCTCGCTGCTCAGAACATCCCCATGAGGTAGGAAATTCAGCTCAAAGTCCCTCAGCAGGAAGTGACAAAGCCAAGACTGGAAACTGGGTCTTGGTGACACCAAAGCTCTAGCAGGCTGCACTACCTGGTCACCACCAGGTGAATCCAGCCCACAGCTACGATTGCGGGCCCAAGCACGTCACTGGTCCATTGGGAAGCAGTTACATCCATCCAGTGCTTGCCCAGTGGACAGAAAACAAGGGCCCCGACTTTATGGGGCACTATCTGAGAGGGAAGAAGATTTCTTTAAAGGCCCACAAGGTCCTGGAAACCAGAGAGGGCTCCTCCAAGCCCTGGGTCTGAACCTGCCAGATTCAGACTGTGGTACTCAGCTCAGGGTGCAAGAGGAGGCTCATTTGAATATATTTGCTGAAAACCACAACCAGGCATCTAGAGATTGCCGAGAAGCGGACACTTCCCTTCTGCACCAAGAATTCACAGTGCCCTTGAAACCATAACTGCTCCTCCCACCTCCTAGAAGCTAAATTAGGAGGGAAAAAGAGGGAGCGGGGAAACCAGCCAAAGCTCCCAGTCCCCCGGAGGCTCTGTGCATTGTGGTGCCCAGGATGGTCAGAGTTTCGCTTTGAGGGGCCTTTGCTGCCCAACAGGGGGTACTTTACCAAGGTCTCTGCACAGACAGATGGATGCAGCGTTTGTGACTCTCCCCCAGAGCTGAGCCAGGCCTGGAGCGAGACCTATGCAGGGAGACGCCTCCGGACACAAGCTCCCCATCCTAGCGTTTGGCCTGTGCACGTTTTATCTTCTCTGGTCACCATGCAGGGGTTGGGTGTGTTGGGCGAAGTTTTCACTGCACCACCCTAAGAAGTGTCACAAAGACCTTGTGCCTGTGGGGAGGGGGCATCATCCTAGCTCAAAAGTCTGCCCCAAAGGTATTGCCACGTTGCCAGGGGAGTGACCCTTCCCCCACACCCCCTTCTCTACCTTTCCAGGGATAAAGGGAGTGGTTGCTCCAAAGCTCAGGTCCTAGTCACTTGGATGCTGTCCCAGGAGGTTGACCTGGGTGGCTCAGAGTCTGTCCCCAAGGTCTGCCCCTGGCTAACGCCGCCAGCCAAGCTGACTCTGGCAGATGTCCAAAGGTGGCTCAAGGGACTCATTCAAGTGTGGGATTTTAGCAGTCTGGCTCTTCCGTCATCCACACCTTAGGGAGGCAGCCTCCGTGTCTAACCAGCCCCGAGCGCCCAGGGAAGATGTGCCCAGACCCACAGCCAACACCTCTTCTCCCCCCTCGTCCGCCACGAGGTCCATTGTCCATGCCTCTGGGCCCCGGCCCCCTCGGTCAGAGACTAATTTTTGAGGGAGTTGGCAGGCACGTGGTTGAGCGGCAGGACCACCTCGGTGCCCGTGTCCATGGTGGTGAGGGGGCACTTCCGGCTGCTGCGCATGCTGTGGAACTTCTCGGTCAGGTGCTTGCGGAACTTCTTGGTGAGGAAGCAGTAGATGATGGGGTCTAAGACGCAGTTGGTGCTGAGGAGGCAGAGGGTGACCTGGTGCGCGTCGTTGATGGCCTGGTGGAAGTCGCTGTCCTGGAAGCCCAGCTCGGCCAGGGTCCAGGGCAGCTGCACCACGTGGTGCGGCACGAAGCAGATGATGAACACGGCCAGCACCGTGCAGACCATCCACAGCGCCCGGCGCTTGACCTCGGCGTTGCGCTGCAGCTGCGCGGGCTGCAGGAGCAGCGTGCGGATGATGATGAGGTTGCAGAAGAAGATGAGGAGGAAGACGAGGAAGAAGGCGAACACCAGGACGATGTGGATGATGAGGACCGGGATGCTGCCTTTCTCGTAATGCTCAAAGCAGCGGGTGACGTTGGAGCCGGCCTTGCCGGGCACGACGTTGGTGGAGTCCAGCATGAAGAAGTAGGAGGCGGCGGCCAGGATGGACACCCAGATGATGACGGACAGCAAGATGCCGCGCTTCCGGGTGGTCGCCTGGACGGTCTTGATGGGCCGGGTCACCGCCTGGAAGCGGTTGTAAGTGATGACGGCCAGGAAGGCCACCGAGCAGTAGGTGTTGATGAAGAAGAAGCAGCCGGTCAGGTTGCACAGGAACGCGGGGAGGATCCAGTCGCCCTGGTGGTAGTAGTAGGTGATCCACAGGGGCAGGGTGACCAAGAAGAGCAGGTCGGCCATGGTGAGGTTCACCATGAAGATCTTTATCTCGTTGAGCTTCTTGGAAGGGTACAGGCTGATGAAGACCCACAGCACGTAGCTGTTGGCGATGACCCCCACCACGAAGATGATGCTGTAGAACACCGGGAAGAGGGTGTATCGGAACTCAGAGTCCACGCGAGAAGAATCGTTCGTCTCCATGGCGCCGGCTTAGAAAAGGCACCCGGTCACCGTGTCCTGCTTGTGCCTGGAAGACATTAACATAGGGACTCTGGTTAATGAAGGGCCAACAAGGGACTATCTGATTTCATCTATTCCAAGACTCCCGTTCTGCACATTAAAAAAAAAAAAAATCAATCGCATCTTCCAATTCATCGGCAGCATTTATTTTTTCTTTCTGCATAAAATAATTTTTCAAGGAGCTACATCTAAGATTCCATGAAACCAACAGCAGCTGTTTTGGCAGTGGAAACACTGGAAGAAGCCTATAGATACTTACACAGGTGAGCTTTGAGAAACAACTGGTTCTAACTGGGATTTGGTTGATTGAGAGAGAGAAATGTGCTTTGCTCTAGTTATTGTGGTGGTGGTGGTTTGTCTATGTTTAAGTTACATAAATGTAGCTTCCTTTATTCCAATGAACCATTGGGTTTTCCTTTAAACACCACAAAACTCACCCACGAGTCATACTGTGGGTTACATAGTTGACTTGAATTATATCGTTTTATGCTACCGGACCTTTCCCACTGCCAGATGGAGCGCTGCCATCTGGTCCCAAAGCTCCAGGATAATGGCTCCACAGGGATGAGGAGGAGAGAGGAACATCTCGGAGACCTTTTAGGGGATCCGTGAGATACTGGTTGATAGAAAGGGAGGAGTGAAGAACGGCCAGGTTTCTGGCCCAGAGATTGGAGGCGGGGTGTTGTCTATCTTCATGGACACGACACTGAGGATGAACAGCACGTGGGTGGGAGGATGAATTCCTGTCTCTAATTGTGTATTGGTAATTTGATATCTATCACATTTGAAGTGTCTGCAAAGCATCCAGGAGGATCCAAGATGGAGCCCCGAAGAGACCACCATTAAAGGATACACCAAAGAAAGAGGAGGAGGAGGAGGAGGAGGAGAAGGAGGAGGAGGAGGAGGAGAAACTTCTGGAGGGCAAGGACAGGTGGGCAGAGGGGTGGGAAGAGAGCCAGGGGAGTGCCTTGCTGGAGTCCTATTGAAGAAAGTTTCAAGAATGCAAGAGCCAGGCGCCAGCGGTGTGAAAAGTCACAGGGCAACCAAATACAATGCAGACAGAAGAGCAAATATTGAATATGGCAACACGGAAATCTATCTCAAGTGATCAGAGGGAGAGCAGTTTCCTAAGATGCGTTGAAGAGTGAATGAGAAGCAAGGAAGCGGACGTCAAATTCTCACTCAAGAAGCTTCGTACGTTGAAAGAAGTGGAGAGAAATGAGTAGAAAGATAAATAAATACCATTTCAAATTGTGATGAATTCAACACAAGAAATAAACGTAGTAGCATAATGAAGCTAGATTAGAGGGCTGCTTCAAATAAAGTGACCAGGGAAGGCTTCTCGGAGGAGGTGACCATACACAAAACCAGAGGCCTCGTTGCCATAAAGCCAAGGAAACTTGACCTTCAGGGCCCCCCTCCTAGTCCTTGTCTCTAATTGTGTATTGGTAATTTGATACCTTTTCTTCAAAAAAGGGCCCCAAAGTTGTATAAAATTTATGGTCCTACAAAACCTATATCTTCTTCCTCTGGCTAAAATCTAAAAAGTGAATAGAAACTAGTCAAGAGAAAACCTGGAATGACTGGAGTCCATCATATCCTGAGACAGGAATAAATTTGTCATGTTCACCTGGAACCGGAAGGTCAGTGTGGCCGACGGGCGTGAGAATTGGGATGCATGGGAAGCCCTCCATCCCTGTGAGCAGTCCCGAGTGTATCCCCTGAGCATCACAGAGACGCTGGAGTGTGTCGAGCAGGTGAGAAGCTTGACCTGACTCACTCTGGACACTGGGCCGAGAACAGAAGGTAGGGAACAAGAGTGGAAGCAAAGGGACCATGTTGGAGGCAAGAGGTGGTAGGGACATGGACCAGAAAGTGGCCTTTCCAATTTTCCTCTGTCCCCAGCATCCAGCACACGCTTAGCCAGCACCGGAGTTTGGAAAACCTTAGTCAAGTGAACAAATATCTAACAACTGACAAGACTGACCTCTTTGTGATAACGGTGAGAGGGGTCATCCAAGAAGACAGTAGAGGCCTCATCGATCCAGGGGCATAGAGCACCTGTGGCAGCCTCCACACATGGCGGGGTGTGCCCCCTACCACCTCCCTCCTCCGCCTGTGGTCCTAGGACCAGAAGCATCAGCATCCCCTGTGAGTTCGTTAGGCATGCAGCATCTCAGCTCCACCCGAGGCCTGCTGCATCAAGCCGTCTTTTAGCAAGAGTCACACGATCTTGATTCGTGAGCACCCTGGGGTTGGAGAGATGCTGTGCCTCAGCGCACTGCCAGCCACACACCTGTCTGACCTAACACCTTCCATGGCGCCCCACTGTCCAGGACCAAGTCCAAGCTCCTGTCCACACCCATCTCCCGCCAGCCTCTCCTGCTGCTCACCCTCAACGCCAGCCACACGGAACTTCCTGCTGCTGCTCTAATAAAAACGCCATTTCTCTTTGAGCCTCCATGTCTTTGCACATGTTGTGGGTCCTACTGAGCATGCCTTTTGCCTATAATTTTACCTCACAAAACTTTACTCATTAAGACCTAAGCTAGCCCTGACCGGTTTGGCTCAGTGGGTAGAGCATTGGCCTGTGATCTGAAAGGTCCCAGGTTCGATTCCTGTCAAGGGCGTGTATCTTGGTTGCCAGCACATTTCCAGCAGGAGGCGGCTGATCAATGTTTCTCTCTCATCAATGTTTATAATTCTCTGTCCCTCTCCCTTCCTCTCTGTAAAAAATCAATAAAATACATTTAAAAAAAGAAAAAAGACCTAAATGCTTTCTCTGAGCCGCCTTCCCCGATTGCCCCAGGTAGAAGGAGTTGCCTTCTCTCTGAGTCACCGTGATACTGGGCACTTTCTTCAGGAGAGAACCTGACACATAGTTTTACGTATTGATTTCTATGGCTGGAAACTTCTTGAGAGCAGAGATTAGATTTTTCATCCCTTTGTCCCCAGTGTCAGACTCTAGGGACTGAATGACTGAATGAATAGCCAAGCCCCAGATGACTATTCAGAGGAAACTGGCAGGAAAGGTATCCAGTCTCTCGGGAAGGCCTAGTAGGGTGGGGAGAACAGGCCTCTGGAATTAGAGACCTGGGTTCATGCCTGGCTCTGCCTTTTACTTGATGCGTGACAATGGACTGTGTATTTACTTCTATGAGCCTCAGTTTCTTCATTTGCAAAAGCTTGCAATCCTAACAGTAGTTTCAAAAATAAACATGTAAAGTGGCCACAAATGGCCAGGCTGTCTTTCTCTCCCCATGGGCCCAGCTCCCTGGAGCCTGGGAGGGGACTCTGGGTACCACTGACTTCAAGAGCTCTAACTCACCACTGACTTTCCTGCCAGCTCCAGCAAGGCTTTAGATCAACAAAGCTATCAACAGTTCAACTTAACATGCGGGCACAATTCCCTGAGGATCAAGGCTGGGCAGCAGGCCCAGGCCCAGCACTCAGCTGTGGGTGGGTTAAGAGGGCCATAAAGATTCACAGAGATAAGAAGCCTGCCATCTGGATTTCCCACTCTGCCCTGCAGAGCATTTAGCCCCAACCACACTCTGCCTACCACTCCCATCCTGTCTCATATTCCTAGTCCCCAGGGGACCCGAGAAAGCTGGGCACTCAGAGGGGAGGAACTACCAGGAGCTGAGCAGAAGAAACTACAGGCTGGTTACTTCCCCAGTGAGGACTGTGAGTTGGGAAGTTGGGTTTACCAGTCAGTCTGGCCCCTAACATTTGTGGTGTCATCTGTGGTCAAGAGTACAAGTGTCTAAATATTTATAAGCTATAACACTGGCCAGTGTGGCTCAGTTGGGTGGAGCATTGTCCTGTATACCAAAAGGTGGCAGGTTCCATTCTTGGTCGGGGCACATGCCCACGTTGCAAGTTCAATCTCTGGTCAGGGCACCGAGGGAGGCAACTGATCAATGTTTCTCTCTCACATGAATATATCTCCCCCTCTCTCTTTCTCTCTCACAAATATATATATATATATATATATATATATATATATATATATATATATATATATATATATATATATATTTTCCTACATATCTACGAAATTGATTAGGTCTAAGAACAAAAACAAAAACACTTGAAAATAAATATTTACAAGCTATAAATCAGTCACGTCCATTTTCATGCACATCCCATGCACCAGCAGCTCCTAGCAATCCAGCAAGCTTGTGGGTGCACTCGCCAGTAAGAGTATGGGCAAAAGGGGGTGTGGGCGGGACACAGTGGTCAGTCCCACATGGAGCTAAGGATTCCTTGCTCTGTAGGGAGGGTTGACTGAAGGGGAGCCAGAGCCAACTCACCTAAACTCGGGGGCACTGGGCATGGGTAAGGGGAACTAATTAATGTATAGTTCCCCTTACCCATGATCACATTTCCTCCTCCCATCAGCCTTGGGAGTAAGCTCTACAAGATGCCCATGTTTCCAGGGAAGAGCATGAAGTCAGAACAGGTAACACACTTGTCTGCAGTCAGACAGCTGGACAGTAATAGGTGGGATTTTGAAGTCCGAGGTCCATCCTCTCTCTCCTAGGTCAAGCTGTACCAAACCACTCCTTGGCCACCTCAGCCGCTCACAGACCTGAGGACAGGAATTGTGGGTGCTGTGTGGCCCCAGAGAGATATGCCTTTGACCTGGGGCCTTGCATTTACCTTTGCTCCCCAGATTCAGAAATGGGATGGGGCAAAGGGGAGGGAAGGATTGTAGGATCCATCTCACTGCTGCTGGGAATTGCTGGAGTTGGAATCAAATCCTGGTCCAAACACTAGCCTCACCCTATGACTCGAGTCTCTGTCTTCTCCTTGGTAAAATTTTTAAATGGGTCTAAAACAGTGGTTCTCAACCTTTCTAATGCCGCGACCCTTTAATACAGTTCCTCATGTTGTGGTGACCCCAACCATAAAATTATTTTTGTTGCTACTTCATAACTGTAATTTTGCTACTGTTA